TGAGGATATTTCATCAGTACTGGATTTTAATTTGTTAAAAAGTATGGCGTTAGCCCCGACAAAATTAGTACCATTGTCTGAGTAAATGTGTCCTCGCTTACCTCGCCTTGCAATAAACCGTTTTAGTGCAGCAATAAAAGATGTTGTCATGTCGGTAACGACATCTAAATGTACACATTTAGTGCTCATACAGATAAATATTGCGATATAAGATTTTAACATTTTTGGATTTCGCGTTTTGCGATCTCGTATAGATATTGGCCCAGCATAATCAATGCCAGTATAGGCAAAAACAGGTTGAAACGATGTAACACGACATTCCGGCAAATTTCCCATTTGATAAAATTGTGCTACTGGTTTTACCCTGAAACACACTACGCAACTTCTTACTATGGTTCTACAGATACTACGACCTGCAATAGGCCAAAATCTTTGTCTAATTGAATATAATAACTGCTGTTGACCACAATGTAATAATTTTAAATGTTCGTGTCTAAGAATTAATTTGGTTAAAGGGTGTTTATTATGCAGAATGATCGGATGTTTCGGTTTGCCTTTTGTTTTCGTCCTCCTACTCTGAGTATACCAACTTCATCTACATATGGATTTAAACATAAAATATTAGCAGAATTTGACACATTTTTTCCTTTTAATAAAGTATTAAGTTCTTTAGGAAAAGACTGCCCTTGGGCTATTCTTAGAAGACCTATAAACGCATTTTCAAGTTCTTCAGGTTGAATTGGACCAGAGATGACACACTTTGACTTGAGGCGCCAGAAAAATCGATAGCATAAAGCTATAACTCTTTGGTATTTTAGTAGAGACGAATATCGACAGAAATCAAACTGATATTCTTCGCTTGCCAAAGCTGCGTGAGTCACCAGCTTTTGTTCAGGAATGTCGCTAGGAAAATCAACAATTAGCGATCTTCATACCACATACTGCTATTGAGTTTTCCCGTATATCTTATTGCGTGGCGCTCAAAGAATGTTGGTTAGCCGAGTCTGCCACTTCGCAATACCAGCATGTAGGAGAGAGGAGAGTCAGCCTTAAGATAAAGCATCTAGCTCATTTTCCGGCTCAGAATTAGATTTAGAGTTAGTAATTCGCATTTTAATTGGAGGACACAGTCATATTTATTTCAAACCAATAATCAACGAGAATATTCCTATAATTTAATAAAATTACTGTAAATCACTATAAATAATGAATTGTTTGTAAATGAACTGTAATTTCTGTATTATTAATCCGGTAAATGATGGAGATAAACAATTGTGATTGATTAAAACTTTATTTTAATATGAAACTTTTGTTAACAACATTCTGAGAATAATGAAGTGAATAATGAGAAGACAAATGACATCTGTATAAAAAAGACAGCGATTTAGAGTGACAATTTGGTTATGTAACATTTAAAGTGACAATTTTGATTATGCAAAAGAAATACATATTAATAAATCCCCAACATGAATAATGAATAAAACATTTAAATAAAAAACAGACCACAGGCTATACAACACAAATTGTTGGTTAGTAGCAGCACAGATTAGGTATCCTATAAGTATACAGATAAAAATCTTGTCCCTAATTCGTGGTACGAAAATTGTTTTTTATGACGATGTGCAAACGAGTCAAATTTCTGTGCGCAAAAATAAACTCGCGTAAAATAACAATAAACAGCGTAATAGAGAGATATCGCTAAACCGAATAGCGTGCATGGACGTTAATAAGGCCAGGTGTTATTTCCTTTATGTGAGGTGGTATTAACTCTCATCATTTATAGTTATCGGATCGGAAAGAATTCTGATCGCGTCGCGTCCGCTGTTTAAACTTAACCTAACTTTGAATTTAAAACTTTGAAATTATTTTGTTTACTAGGTATTTTAAAACTAAAGGGCTAAAGTGCTTATTTCCAGTGCTTTATTGTTCAAAGTCTGCCAGTGGGTTTAGGGCAATAAGCAACAAATTCTCTTAGAAGGGCTAAGTCGTCATCTGCTGTAAACCTAAGACTCTTTATAGGTTCTTTAGTATTGGAAGAGGTGGAATCCATATTTTGGGCCATATTTATTTAATTAAAAATAATCCCAGCTACTTAAATATCAAATTACCTAATAAAACTAAAGCAATGATTCAAAACAATTCAAACATAACCTAAAATAAAAGATCTCGCCGGCCGGCTCCGGTTGTCAAATACCCGCACATGCCCATTTAAGCAATTTTTAAACGTTATCAGAAGTTATTTAGAAAGAGCGCTTGGTGTAATTGATCCGCAAATTACGTCAGGCGGTAACGTTATTAGCGGGTGTTGCGTTAAAAATTGACTCGCGCATATCGTAACCATGATAAGGTACGCGTAAATACTGGATGACGCTATTCGGTTTTCCGATATCTCTCTAATAACTGTGCCGGTCAGGCGCTGTGCACAATTTTAGAGGCCATAAGTGGGCGTGCTATGTGCGCAAACTAGTCACCTAACTAGTGCCCTATACCGAAAATTGGAACCACGAAAAACAATAAAGAAAAAACAAAGATTATAATCTGTATAATCTGTGGTAGCAGTTAGTAGTGGTCAGAGATATAGATGTAGAGAATTATCCTTTTTTACTAAAAATAAAAAAACCGTATAAAATTATAAAGCTAGAATAGTATACGGTTTTATATTAACTCTATTTTTCTAAGTTTTTAAAAAGCATTCATAAAAATATATATATCCTTCAAATCCTTCAATTTAATAGCTGATTTTAAATTTTTTAATTATTATTTATTTATTAACTTAGTAAAAAGTAAATTTAAAGAAGAGACATTACAATAAAAACCATATCTACTATAACCATATAAAAATAAATACTGAAATTCGGCAACGAAATCAGCGCTATTTTTCAGGCCACTCTGTGCGTTAATAGGTTATTTATTATGTAGCGTCTGTGTGTATATGTATATCGTTAGTCGTACAAGCCGAAGATGCCGTTATACTTAAATAGTTGTAAAATCTAATACGCCGGCCACATTACCATAACAACATTATTTAGTGTGGTACTTTAGAATATCGATTCTTCAGACTGGTACCGACAACAACACGTCTGCGGCTAGAAGACAGTAGAATATATAATTTAAGCACTTTTAATGAGCCTTTTTTACTTACAAAAACAAGAATTTGCGTTTTTTAATTAAAAATTTGCGGATTTTATGTCTTACTGGGTGTTTAGTGTTTATATTTACTAGGTGGTCGTTTTTTAAGATTATTTTAATTTAGAAAGCTTTCTCTCAACATAAAGCTGATTTTTATCGCATGTTTTGTTCGATATTTCACGTTGATTGTTCTCGGTTGTAAGTTCTGAGAAATGTTTCCGAGTGTCTTAGATCGATGGAGGATTCCCATTCCAGGTTACGGATGGAGTCTTCCAGAAACTTGAGTTCCGCTTTAAGATGGTTTCCACTTGGGAAGCAGAACGGTTCTGGTCCATTTAGTGGAGGTTTATTCGGTCCTTTTCTAGCTAGACTGTTTGCTTTTTCATTGCCTTCTATTCCTTGATGGACTGGCACCTAGAGTGGGATGGGACTAGGAGAGGATTTTATTATCTTTGCTTAATTTGTTTAGCTCCTCTAGGCAGTTGATCGCTTTTATTGCTGCTTTACTATCGGATAAGATAAATACATCGAAAAAAGCTGTAATATATCTATTTCTATTAATTTTTTTTGTAAATTTATTTAAAATGACAGTTTTATTCTAAAACTTGATTATCCCTTCAGCTCTCTAGACGGTTTTCCGTCTTAACTTAGTGATATGTCGGTATTTGAGTAACGCGATTTTGGAGCTGTATTTTTTTGTAACGTCGTGTCGCACTCCACAACGAATCATGAACCTGTTACTGAAGAACGACGATCAAAATGACGACAATATTATATATTATTTATAATTTGCAAAAAAATTATTTATAATCGCTCTTGAAGTTAGTTTAAACCGTAGTAACTGCATAGCGACGTGTTTAGCTCCAGCCGTCGCGATTTTGTTGGTCGCCAACAGTAGTAACTGGCACTGGTATGTAAGTAGCGTCGGCGTCGCGCGTGTTCGCTCCAGCCTTGGCGCTCCTAGAGCCGTAGTTCCGCCTATCGCGAACAGAAGTAACTGGTAACTGCTGTAACTAATTATGGACGCTCGACCTCGACCTCGGCGGCGACGTAACTTCGCTCCAGCTGTCGCGCTCTTAGAGCCGTAGTTCCGTCTGTCGCGAACAGAAGTAATTGGTCCCTGTGTGTGTTGACAGTGTTGCCATATTATATGTAATATCTGTAATAGATTTGACGAAAATATTTCTGGATGAAAAATCCGCATTTATGTATTGAAAATTTATTCGTGTCAAACATAGAATAAACAACAAAAATAAAAATTCTTTTACAGGTACTGAATAATTCGTATGATCAAAAAAAGTCGTTTCGTTGACTTGGATATGACATTTACCATAATACTATATGTTTGCATATAAAATAACAGTGATCTTCATTTCCAAGTAAACTCTGACGCCGTTCTTTATTTAATCATATAATATTATATTAAATCCGTATTATTAACGTACTGTAACGAAAATCCGTAAATCTACGGATTGATCAGTAGTTCTGGCAACACTGTCTCCGGCAACCACTCACTCTGTTGACTAAAAGCAGAACTACGGTACAGTATTCTTTATCCGCTGCGCTGTAAACGACGATCAGCGCACAGCGGCGCAGATCTCAACCAGCTAAACTAAATCTCGGACAGGCTGATGGTAACACCAGCTACATCTCGGACAGGTTTTGTGCCACGAAATCGCCCATAAGGTTGCGCATCTTCTTATTTCTTCAGCCAACGATATCACTATTAAATCATTGTTTACTACATTCAAAGAAAAATAATACATGTTACATACACTAAACTTTCAATTAATGTTGGTATAGCACCATATAAAATATTAGTAAAATAAGATAATATTAATTTTAATATATATAGTTTTGAAATCTTTTACCTCTGTAATCGTTGATGGCGACAACTAAAGTTAATGTTGATCCTAATGGTACAATGCCACTCACAGGGGGTGCCCATGGACCTTTCCCATGTTGGATCTCCATCCAGCAGTCTACATTATCACCTGAAATAGAAAAAAAAAAATATTAGATATTATCATACAGAACCCGCACAGTTATCGAACAGAATAAACCCGCGAAGAAAAATTTACATTATCTTATACAGCGTAATTTATATGGTGTAGCCAATATCGCAACATTCAAAATGCAATATCTCAATTTTTTTAAATGCCACACCCTGTATATTATTTAGAGTTATTAAGTGAACATTTTTTTATATTTAAAGTGACTAATATGATTTTTGTCTAGAATTTTACCGTTAAAAACCCAATATTTATGTAATATACTCCAGCGAATATCTGCAAAACCGCTAAAAATTTAAGAACACTTTGAATACAAAAAAATGTTCTTTTTTTATTCTATTACTACAGTTTTCAATCACTTTTTGGATATAGTGTTGTCAACCAAAGTTTTAGTAAAATAAGAAATAAAATGGCAAAATTGCATAGCGCTTCAAATAAAAATAGTGTACTACATGCAAAATTTTATGCTGAATAGAATTATCTACAGAAAAATGAGGAGTTCAATTAAAAAAAACTTAATAACTTTTTTTGTAACACCCTGTATACAACAAAATATTTTCAGTATATGTCTATATATACTAAAAATATTTTTTATAAACTATGCAACATCTGTATAAAACTTTTTTTCATATCTTCGACAACAAAGACGATATTGGACTACCTCGCACTAATGGGCCACCCTGTATACAGGGTTGTTCACCACATACGACACGGAGCATTGCAGCTAAACGATTAGATTTTTACAAATTGTAAGTTTTGGGTTCGTTGAAGGACTATTAGAGCCACAATTTAAAAATATTTTTACAAGATACATAGTGTCCCAAATAAATAAAAAATATCAAAATTGTATTTTTTTAAATGGAACACCCTGTATATTATTGCATTTTTAGTTTCTACGATTAAAATAAAGGTAAATTTGATTAAGGTTTATTACACTTAAACCTTACCGTTTTTGAAATATTTTCAATTTTGTGAAATTGCAGTATAAATTTTAAGGCTGCATTTCTCCGAGGGTATCAAAGTTTTTAATACTAAATATTTACTGAAGTTTATTTATTGATCAGTTATTGTGTTGCAATAATAAACATTATACTACCTTATAGAGAGTGTCTAAAAATTTATTTTAAATAATTACTAGCTTTAAATGGCAATAACTTGTTTAATTTAAATGGAACACCCTGTATATTTCATGAGAGTCAGATGCACAATTTAATTGTCTATCAAATTGTATTATATCACTTTTTACCTATCCCTTCAAGTTTTCGTAGAAAATGCATTTTCTCATAATTTAGACCTTATTTATCAATATACCCATGGAATATTGACATTTTATATTGTTTTTAAATCAACAAATGTACAAAATGTTCAGGCTAGTAATATTATCGTTTTTAGAAAAACGATAATATTACTAGCTCATTTGTATGCAAAAAGAAAACTATTTATATCTTTATAAAAGAGTATACCATTAATAAAATATACCACCAGTATTTCCGCCCAAATACTAATTAATTACATACTTAATTGTGTTCATTAATAAATTGTTCTAAATAAATATGGATTTGAATCATCAGCATTTTATTGTAGCATACCTTTTACATGCTCTGTTCCAAATTGTCACGAGAATTATAGAGGGGGTCCCAAGGTTTCTGCTTTTTTATTCCCCAAAAATGACGAGCTTCGTAAAAAATGATTGACAGCTATTAAAAAGAGATACTTCAATTCTACTAGTAGTTCGGTAAGAAGTACGTTAAATATGCTCCAAAAGGCCAAACGCCAAAGGCCAAAGCTCCTGTTACCCTAGTGAGGATGTAGTTGTGGCTACTGCTTACACTTTACCTCACAAGATATTGACAACATTCACATTTGAAATATAAATGGCCTGATGTAAGTCTTTTTCAGGTCACAATAGACCCTCACATGTCAGAATGTATTATTAACCATCTTGTTCAGAATATCCAATATTTTTTTTTTTATAAAAAGGTATTTAGTTTTTTTCTATATAAAATCTTGAAACATATTATATTTTTTTTAGTTATCCTCACCTATTATTATAGTTTAAATTTATTCTCATTTGTGTAATGTGCTGCAAAAACATAGGAAAAATATTCCATATTTAACCCAAGCCAGTGTAGTTTACACCAAGAGTATTTACCAAGGCTTTACTAAGACAAGTAACTTCCTATATTGTCCATAATAGTATATATCAAACGTGCAGTAAATTCTAAACTATGGTAGGTAAGTGTTTGCAATTGAATATTTAGTTTATATTGTTATTTTCTGTCATATATTTCTGGTTATTTTTCCGATGATTTTGAACACCCTATATGCTACCTCAAGTTTGAATATTTTACAATTAGTACACTACCTACTTATTTTCTGAGAAATCAGACCTTTTATAAAAAGTAACTAATGTTTTCATAAAAGTAATAATACAAAAAATTCCATACTTATGTGGAGAGCTTTAAACTCCTGTATATTAAAAATTAGTGAAATATTACGTAATCTAACCCGACATTTGTGTGAAAAATGTCTATTTGGAAATAAAACAGGTTTTAAAATACGCGACAACAAAGCACTCTATCTCCGCCATATTGGAAAAGGTTGAATTGCCTGTGGAGGTGGTGGCGGTTAGCAGCGTCAGCATGGTGGCCCGGCCGTGTTGCCGCTTTTCAGCATGTGACGTATTAAAAATAAAGTGGGATTTTATTCGAGCTTTTTGTTTTTATTTATTTTCATAAGAACGACTTCAAATTTTTCGAAAGTGAGATAGCAGAAATTCTAGAATTAATCGCTTTATTCCATTATGCTAATTCCAAAATATAGTGAAACACGCCCATTGGCAAATGAGTAATGACATCGATGGTGTGAGACGTGATATCCCCCAAACCTACAGCAATACTAAAAGAAATCTTTCCGTCAACTGGACTGGACCAACAAAGAATTAAAATAGATGGAGAATATCTAACCATCTAAAATTACCCTGTAGTCCTGAGAAACTAAGCACCAATTATCGAGCTAAATACAGCCAGCAATAATATTGCTTCGCCTCTTTACCACTTTCTGAGTTTCCATTTGAATTTAGACAGTAGTATTTACAAAAATAACTTCTTTACTTTTGTAGATTTCCCTTTCAGTGGCGAAATGCACGGGCTTATTTCAAGCAAAATTGATCTAATATAAAACGCGTTGTGTCAAACAGCCGATTGATTGCTCTAAATATTTACTTGAAATAAATCATTCTAATAAAGAGCTAGCAATCCGATGATGTGAATCGATCAAAAGATTATTACCTCTGAAATCCAGTTGAATGACATCAAGGTCAGCGATGACCATGGGTGGCTTGACGCGGTTTTTTCATAATCGTTGAACCACTGCAGCGGAGTCTTTTGGCCTCGTCCCACACCTGTAACATTACGTAAAAAACAATAGTTGATAAAAAAATAATAAAGATGTAGATAGATATCGGAACAGAAAAAAACTAGTATTATAAAATATTAATATTATTCTAAGCAGAATTTAAAATATACAGAGTGGTTCGGTATTTTGTTCCGGGATTTTACCAATCGATAACGAAAATGTTAATTTTGATGAACTAAATATATTTTTGAACTTTGTTTTACATTTATTTTGTACAAAGCAATCAAAGAATAATCTGAACAAAGTCTTAATTTCTCTGTCCGAAGAGCCAGGAAAGAATTTGACAGAAAATATAATTTACGTATGAATTAAAATAACAGACATAACTGTCACTATCATGGGTCCTCTCATTGAACCGGCTATTAAATGGCCTTTTTTTAATAAATGTATTGATGGGGTGTTCCTACGTCCGTATTGTTAAAGTGTCCCGGGGGGTACAGCCAGTGGCGGACTAAGGGGGGGGGGCGGAAGGGGTGGCTCGCCCCGGGCCCCGTCTTTTAGGGGGCCTCCGAATCTTAATAAGTCATTTTTTATTGAACTGGCAAATAAGGCCAATATGTTCAGTAGTTATAAAGCAGATTGTAGGTGGTGTATGCAAACCATACGTACTATACGCCAACTATAAACAGTATAAATGGAAGCAGATATTTACCTAATTATCAATTATCAGGTTCCAGTAATTGTCAATGGCATTTTCTATTTAGAAAATTAAATGAAGGGATAAATTTCCTTGTTTAAAATATCGAATAATTATTATTTTTTATATATTTTGAGACTGAATTTATTTATTTTAGCTTTTAAGTTATTTTTCAATGGTTTCATTATTTATTTTTACTGAATAAACATTTTAAATTACAACCAATGCATACCATAACTTGTGTTCTAGCTTCATTACTGATGATGAGCAGTGAAGTCTTTAGTATAACGGGAGCCACGGGCCTGAGACAGCGAAGGGGCTCCTCGGATCTTGGAGGACTTACAAAATCGCGATATTTTGTCGCGGTATTTCCCTGTAAGCATTTTTAAGAAAAAAATATTTAAAATTTTTGAACGAAAAAAACTACCTGTCAAAAAAATTTGTACAGCCTAAAAGTCAAATTTAGTGATTATCACAGCCCCTGTGACATAAAGAAAAGACATGTGGCTATCTAGTTCAAAAATTAAATTATTCAAATGTCATATAATAATGGTATAGGTAACGGTAGCTGCAATGGAATTGAGCGATTAAGAAATTATCATAAATAGTTTTTTTTCAAATGGAAACCCACTTTTTTATTTCACTAGTGAAAAGGTTTTCCAGTTCGTTACGTCTTAACTAGACATATTCCTATACTTAAAATAAATCGTTTTTAAGTCATTTAAGATTTAGTTTGAAAATGTATATTTTTCTTGATTTTATCTAGCTTCCTTTGACATTAAGTGTCAAACAGTCAGACAATTTATTTCCATCTGTCAGAAAATGAATTATTTGAATTTCCTATATTATAACTACTGCCTGCTTAAAAGTTTAAAAAGTGTATTTATATATTTCTTAAACTTTCACGTTAAACACGTTCTTTAGTGATATCTAATAGTTGATATTTTAATAATATACCGTACGATCGAAAAAAAACAGCGCAAAGTTAGCTTGGAAATGATGATCGATATACTGTCATAGAGACTACTGGTTAAAATCAAAAAAAATATACGCTTTAAAGCTAAATCTTAAATAACTTAAAAACGATTTATTTTAGGTACAGGAACATGTATGTCAAAAAGTAACAAATTTTAAAAATGAAAGTAACGAAAACCTTTTCACGAGTGAAATAAAAAAAGTTGATTTCCATTTGAAAAAAAATGATTTATGATAATTTTTTAATCGCTCAATTCCATGACAGCTGCGGCCATTATTATATGACATTCGAACAATTTAATTTTTGACATAGATAGCCACATGTCTTCTTTATGGTACAGTGGCTGTGGCAATCACTAAATTTGACGTTTAGGCCTTTAGGTTATAT